GCAGTTACTGATATTGAGCCAAGCTTCATCTAATCTGTACCTGTACATTTGGTTTTTCTTGCCTAAGTGTAAAACCTTACTTTCTTCTACATTGAGTTTATTTTGTTAGATAGGGCCCACTGTTCAAGTCTGTTGAGATCCATCTGGATCTTGATCCTATCTTCTGGGATGTTGGCTACTCTTGCAAGTTTGATATTGTCTGCAGATTTGATGAGTTCCCCTTCTGTTCCCTCTTCTAAATTGTTCATGAAGATATTGATGAGTACTGCACCTAAAAGAGAACCTTGGGTTACCCCATTGTTTACTTCCCTCCATGTAGAAGTAGTTCCATTGAAAACTACACATCTGATGGTGATGCTGTCTATATCACATTTTTCTAGTTTACCAAGAAGTAGGTTGTGGTCTACTTTGTCAAATGCCTTACTGAGATCCAAGTATACTAGGGCCACAGCATTTCATTGGTCCACTAATTTAGTCACTTTGTCAAAGAATGAAATAAGATTTGTTTGGCATGATCTGTTTTTGACAAACCCATGTTGGCTTCTGGTTATAACTTCGCTTGCTTTTAGGTCAGGGGTGTCAAACTGCTGGCCCGCAGGCCGGTTTCATCATACCAAAGCTGCGTCTACTCCATTGCCGGCAATGCAAAAAGAGTCACAATACTTCGTGACACATCATGTAGCGTGGTGAGTTTGACACAGGTTCTAGATGTTCACAGATCTGCTGCCTCGATTATCTTTTCTAGTATTTTTTCAGGTATTGATGTTAGGCTGATCGGTCTGTAGTTTCCTGGATCTGTTCCCCCCACCTTTTTTTGAAGATGGGAACTATATCAGCTCTTTTTCAGTCCTGTGGTACTTCCCTGGAAGTACTTTGAAAGATATAGTCCAGTGGTTCTGAAATGACATCTACCAGCTCCTTCAGAACTCATGGATATAATCTGTCAAATCCTGGTCATATAGAGTGGACAGGTATTCTCTTACCATTTTCTTGCCTATTTTAATTTTAATTCTTAGTCTGTCTTTTATGGTTCTAGTTTTGGTCCTTTCGCCTTTCCTTTCTTCTTTCTTTTTCTTTATAAAATAATTTCCTTAATGCAATACATTGGATTTTTCCTTTCTTTTCTGCCCCCCTTTTAAATTAAGATTATATAAATTATAATAATTAACATTTTATATGTGGCAATTTCCTTGATTTTCCCTGTGGTGAAAAAAAGCTGCTCAGAGATTGTAAATACATATTAACATGAAGCACATATCCTGTACAATAAAAATTCAACAGTAAGATAATGAGATGTGACCTTTTGCCTGGAGAAGCCATAAGCAGCTCTTGTACTAAGAGTGGAGATCTATTTTTTTATTATTCAGTTGTCAAATAAACTTTGCCCTAAACGAAGTTGATAAAAGCATCCTTAAACTGCTTTCAGTCTGGCCTCTGTTCATAATAGATGAACAATTTCATGCTTAGTTTCTGAAGCATATAAGCAGCCGTCTTCCTTCATGACCATTTTCAATTGTTATTTTAAAAAAGCAACACCATGGCTCTATTTGAGACATAATTTAAATGCATAACATACCTATTTATTTCCTAGAACATCAAATAAAACACTCTGCATCTTTGGCATAAAAATGTTGCCGTGATAGTCCTTGTGCCTGGCTTAACAATTTGACCTTGACTATCAATAGAATATGACAAGAATATAAAGAAGATTTCTCTAGAGTAAACACTTTTAAAAGCCTGCCTAGAATACCATATTTTAGCTATTATCTTTATAATAAAAGGGGCAGGAATCTTCTGGCAAATAAAATTGGGATAAATTTCTTTTTCTTCATTGAAGTGACAAAAGTGTACTCACAGAAGTCATCAGAATCCCAAGCCAGAAATTGAGAAATAATTATTGAGTCATTAAATATCATTTCACTAAATAAAAGTTAAGACTACTGTTGACGCTATTGTTACTGCTGCTATACTTATTTGTATAGCAAGGTCTTTTACTCCCAATGTACAGATACCTTGTAAGTTATGAGACAGATCACATTATATTGGCTACTGTCAATGTAGATTTGTTTACTATAGAGATAGAACTCAAACTCTATCTACAACCAAAAGTGTTGGGATTAAGTTTAATAATCTTAGCTACATGTTCTGTCCCATATCTACTAAGGTAACACTGTTATAAGTAACATCACCCACTCTGTGGCCTCATTCATACATTCGCCTTCTATTACTGTTCTCCTTGGCCAACAATATTCTTCTGTTGTTTAGTTAAGAAAAGTGTGAACAATTTATTCTCAGACTTTTTTGTTTCCCTATTAGGCCCCAGAAATCACAGTGTTGAGAGGCACTAGGAAACTGTCAAGAAACAGAAGTGTAATTTCCTGCTATTTTTCAGATGAAAAAATAAAAAGTGTTTATAAGTTGTGCCAAAAGAAAATTTGCAAACATTTGAGTATGACAATTGATGTAGTAGTAAGTGATTAAAAAGTTAAAGAGATCTATGTATAGTCCCTTCTCAGTTGTGAGTGTCAAGCTTGAAGATGCTTGCTAATCTCTGTCGCTACTCAACTTGCCATAGCAACCAGGGGGAGGGAGAACCTGGGAAAGAAATGGGAGTTTCAAGAAGCCATCCACAGACCGTGAAACCCAAGGTCACAAAAGCAGGTGTCTGATGGAGAAGTGGATCGTTCCCATAGCAAACCAAAGAGATGTAATTGGGCAACGTGAACATTTAGTGGGTGGGGGTTATGAAAAGCTATTGTTAACAAACCAGATTTTTGTATGGGAAAATTAGAGTTGATTTTGCTTCTTCAGTGTCGAATGTATATTCAATAAAGTGTATGTCTTATGGCACCTCAATGACTTGACTGATCATCAACCTACCTCGTAGAGTTCCTCCTGCTGGAATAACATTAAAGGAGACTCTCTTTGAAAGTGCAGACAAAAAGAAGGATATATATACAATCCGTAACAAACAAAAATCCAGTAGACAGAATGAAACCCACAGTTTTCCTCAAATTTGACCAAACCATTTTCAGAAATGTCTCATCACTATCTCACAAAATGAACCCAAAATATCTTTCTTATAAACCTTAGTTTTTCCTCAGATACACCAGAATGTGCCAAGTAAGCAACTGGCTGAAACCTGATATTAAAATTATAATTAATGTAACAATATGTCTATCCTTTAGACTATTGTTTGGATTATATTTATTCTCTTCACATTACATTTCAGAAGAAAATCCAATATACAGATTCACTTTTTCCTTAAAACAATTAAGTCCTGATTCTGATGCTGGTCTTTACTACCTGCTGCTAATAGGCTGTAATTTCCATATGCCTTTAGTTCTTATTGCTAGCTCATAACATTATCAGAATCATGTAGGTTCATATATTTCCTAAACTGCTTTGTAGCCATATATTGCACATAAATATGATTTTCTCAGTGATAGTTTTTATCAGCAGGGATGCTGTGAATGTTTCTATCACCTTTTAAGCTTGCTTCTGATGTGTTTGAAAAATCAAACATCTGTAAACAGCATTTCCAGTTGTGTTTTTAAAAAAGCAAATATTACATTTTGCCAATCCAGTGCTGATCAATGGATGATTCAGACCAAACATATTGAGCTATTTGAATCAATTTTTTTCCTTCTTGCTGCAGAAAGGTTATACTTTAAGATTTACATTTGAAAACAGCATCCTTTCTGTAACCTTAAATATTGGATTTAATATATGGATGAATTATTTACTGACATACAAATAATTAGCCAATCTTGCTTGCTGTACATCTTTTACAGTAACTTGAGATAATTGTTTTAGATGGGCCTTTTGGCTCCGTGTCACACAATTTTGATGTACCGTAAAAGTTAGCCAAACAATAGAATGGATTTTCTCTGCTATTTGAAATGAAAAGAGATGCTTGTCTGGGTTTGTTGCACAGCCTCTTTTAGACTCAAAACTGCATTTGGTCTTTGAATAATATGCTGAAAATCACACTCCAAAAATGGAGCCAAATTAATTATCCTCATTAATGTCTATGGAGATTCTCAGTCATCCAGGTCATGGTTGTCCCATGTTTTGAAAAAGCACCTTTGAGATATCCTTACTAATCTCTTTCAGAATGATAACAAGAGGGGACAATTGAAACTGTTCAGTGCATCACTGTTGAATAAATATGGTGCATCAAACTTCATTCAAAGGAATGCAAGTGTGTTTCTGTCTCTGTCTCTGTCTCTCTCTCCTCTGTGTGTGTGTGTGTGTGTGTGTTTATCAGAAAGAGAGTCAGTACCTGATATGAATGCTACCCATGTATAACTTAAAATGTATGGTTTATAAACCATAAACAATGCTTAAATCTTTCTGTTTATCAGTTGAAAAAGAATGTCCTCAGCTTTAAGGCTGAGTGTTTATCCAAATGTCAAAAAATGTTTGAAGAACACCACAATCCCATATCCATTTATTTGGAACCAAAACCCATTTACATTTGCAGTTCTAACTGTTTTAATTCTTTATTTTTAAATATATGTTTCATCTTCAGACATTCAGTAGTCTTGTATTACAGATTTAAATCCTGCTTGCATTCTCTTTTACCAAATAGATTTACCATCCCCCGGGAAGATATTTTACATATATTTTACAAGTACAAATTACTAATACTGATTCAGAGAATTGGAATGTACTTCTAAGTAATGCATGGTATATAGCATTGTGCTAAAGTTCATATATAGGCAAAAATATATAGGCACATTCTCAAATTGAAAACACTCATCTAATTTGTTTGGAGAGTGTTGGTATGCTATCTCAGAAAGCGCTTGATGCCAAGTTAATACAGCGCTTTGTTTCATTTGACTGATCCATTAGAAATTCATATTGCTCAGGATGATGGGAACGGTAGTATAACATCCACCTTTAAAAAGCCCTTTGTTAGAAGAACACAGGAGTTCAGCAACACAGTATCTTGAACGGTTATGTGAAACTATAACAGTATATTTTCTTTGCATTAGGTGACATTTGCTCTTGTTGGAACTGCTGCTAAAATCTCAGCCAGATCAGCAACTGCAGCATCATGAGCAGGGATACAAACTCTTTATCTGTCAGAAGTAAAAGTGTAAGTAAGTGGATGTGTAATCCTCCCTTTGTCTTTATGGGTTCAATCACTGTATTTCTTCTTAACTAGGTTTGTGTGCTTGCATTAATAACATTGTTTACGCAGTTTTGATGAATTCAAACTTTGTCTTTTTATCAATAAGATATCCACAAGAATGTTTTTTTTTCTCTTTCTCTTTTTCATTTAGTTTTCTGAATCTGTACAATTGCCTCTTTGTAGCTACATACTATTCAGGATAGCCATCAATAATTAAAATGAATAGAGTATTGCAGCAATCAAAAGCAAAGGAAGCATAGCTAGTTACAGCAGTTTTTGAGCCTAGAAGTGATCTGAACATTTCTATAATATATTTTTTCTTTATGAATTTATCCTATCTGATTATTAAAATGTGCCTTTGAAAAAACAAGACTAAAGCAAGGTATCAGAAAATCCCAATGACAGAATTAGGGATTCTGCACTAGTTTCTGTTCAGTTTCAAGTGTTACTCTAATAATTATATTTGTTGTGGGAGCATGACCTGTCTATGTAGTGTTAATTAATAGTAACATAAATGACTATTAATGAGAATTATTATTTTGGCAAATGGTGATGTGATCCATCCTCCCTCCCTCCCTCTCTCCCTTCTTTCCTTCCTTCCATCTTTCTGTCCTTTTTTCCATTGTGGAGATATTTACTGGCTTAGAAGTGGTGTTGCAATTCTAGGATTTCATTCTCATGTCCCTTTTCTGATTTCATAGGATGTCACAGTCTATGCATTATCCATAAGGAAGAAATGTGTGTTCTGACTGACAAGTAGCCAGGAAGTTTACATACATAAAAACTACACCAAGTCTATTGGTTCTGCTTTAATGTTCATTTGTTTGCTAATGTTATGTGAAGACAACCATGAAAAACACTTTACAGTTTAGCTTTTTCTCTCCTGCCCTTTAGAAATGACACTACACAGTTCAGAAGAGGCAAGTGCTTGAAAGTGTGTGCCTAGCTGATATGGCTTTGAGCCCAGAGTGCCACAGTGGTTAGTGTTGACGGGTTGAACCGTGCTGGTTTTGCACAATATGCTGATGCTTATAAATGAAGTGGTAATAATTGACAGTGAAATGGGCTGCTTAAATTATGTTACAAAGCTATAGGAAGGGAGTATGTGTGTTAAAGAAAGGGGGGGCTGTATTTATGTTACAGCCCAGTTTCTTGGGAAACTGTAGAACAGTTTTACATTTCCATCATGTGCCACTCATCCAAGAAGGAGACACATGGCATTACCTTCATCCCACCCATTCTTGCCACAAATGAAGTCTCTGACCTCTGTTTTCTGTCTTTTTCTGCTTCAAAAGTAGAGTTTTCCATTTTATGGTAGCTCAAGTCACACTGTCCCATGTGTGTGATGCATTTCAATTCCTTACATTCCACGTGGCTACTGCATCTGTAGTAGGAACATCCCTTCCACTCAGGCCACTAATTACTACTTTCTGTTGCCATTTATGGAGAGATAAAATGTTGGGCTTTTCTTCCTCCAGGTTTGTTGATAGAACAGGACAAAGAAGGACCTGGATTTTTTTCTTTTTCTTTCAAAATGACGCAAATTCATTCATTCATTCATTCGAATTCATTCAAATTCATTCATTCATTCATTCCCCCCATTTCTCCAATAAGGTACTCTGGGCAGCTTACAAATCATAAAAAAGATAAATAGAAAAACAATTAAAAAATTAAAACTGCAGAACAAAAACAGAAACCAGGCCCAGAACTTTTTCTTTCTGTTCTAAGAGACTGGCAAAATAATGAAGTTTGGTGTTTTCTTTTTCTTTCTTTTTAATTGATCCAAGAGGGATAAAGAATCAGGGGAATCTACTGGAAGTCATGGTAAATTTAGGTTGGGCAGAACACCAAGTCATGATTTCAGCCAAAGCAAAGAAAGTGATTGAAATCCAGAAGGAGATTTATTAATCTGACTTCATCTTTAGCTGAGGAAATGGGAAATGAACATTTAAAAGTATAGAAAATCTCTTGTAGAAGACTGCCAAAATTATTCAAAGATCACATTGATTTAATAACAGTTTCAATTGGAAGTTGCTGTCCACCAGATGAAAACTGCAAGCTACAAGGGTGCTTATTTTCTTTGAATTAAATATTTCACTCTCCAATTAACCTGAGTTAATACCAAATGATGTGAAGTTCATCTCAGCTTTCCATGCAATAATAATTTGTCATTCAGATTTAAATATTTGAAATGCTTCAGAAAGAAGTTTGGGCTTTGTAAAACCTCCAAAAGGGAAAAAAAGTACAACTACCATAGGTGAAAGGTATAAAACAAATAAGAAATGCATGGGATTACTGAATTAGCATAGAACACATCCATCCTTCCACCCCCAGATTAGCCATCTTTTATCCTAATATTATACTTTGATTCTCCATCTTTCCAGTGAAGTAAAATAGTACAGGACCATTGGATTTAGCAGTGACCTATTGTGTCTGAAAGGCAGAAAGCCTGCTTTGAAGGTAGTTCTGTTGACAAATATAAAAGCTATGCTGGCTAGAATGTTCATTTTACTTAAAAATTATCTCCCTTTCTTTTGTACACTCATAGTGATATAAATAGTAGAACAGAAGCATAACTAGCTTTAAGCCTAGTGTGATATTTTCAGTCATCTTAAAATGAAGGGAAGCATGCAATTTTTAAAATACTATTGGTCTTTAAATAATTATAAATGGATCAAGAAAAAAATGTGCTCTAGTTATTATATTTTTTAATTTAATTAGACTGGCTCTAAAAAAAGAAAAAAGCAAACCAACTACAGATATGTTCTTTTTTTAAATCAGAGGAGAATTTTAATAAATTTTAGAGCAGGGAATTGAGATTTAGTTGATTTCCTTTCCTTTATCTACACATGGGTTTTTGTAAGCTGTTGCTGTAGTTCTTGAGAAAGCTGGGTCTTGAGAATTTGTGGCAAGTGTTGTTCAGGGTCCAGATTTCTGTATGAAATTACAATTTAATCTATGACTCACTCTCAAGGGTTATATCCAGAACAATATACTGCCTAATTTTATCTTCCAACAATACAACTTTGACATCCTTCAATTTTATATCAGAAGATAGCTAAATAGCATTATTACATGTCCTGTAAAATCAGCCTGATTCAAATTCCTCTTTTGAAGTGTAAAAGAAATGTCCAGCAATAATTGCTTAAATCTGTCGTTGTAAAATAAATGCCCCTAATTACTTTCATATAATGAAATCTGCCAAAATCCATAATTAGCTTCCAGTTCTAGTTATTAAATTACTAGTAATTGTCAGACGCAAAGAATCAGGACCATACATTAAATTCCAGTTAAGATTTATTGCTGAGGCCTATACACAAAGTCAAGTCAACTAATGGTCAGCACTAAATTGGTACTAGATAAGAGTTAATGGAATTCAAGGGGGGGGGGACTGGACTTGGATCACTTATGGGTATGTAACAACTCCCGACTGATTCCTCTTTTGACTCTGGCCCAGATTCTGCCTCTTCTTCTACAGTAATTTTATCAATAATTGGCAATTGAAAATGTCAAAGTAGTTTAATTAAAATTGCTCAAATCCAGATAAATTCACATTTGTTTTCTTTTGGGGGAGGGCATACCTCTGAGTCAGTTTTTGATTCCTGGCAACTGACTGGACAAATCCCTGCAGTTTTCTTGGCAACTTTTCAGAAGTGATTTGCTCAGTCTTAGGGCTGAGGGAGAGTGATTGGCCAAGGTCATCCAGCTAGCTTTGTGCCTAAGAACTCAGAGTCTCTCATTTTCATTAACCAATACACCACCCTGGCTCCCATTTTCCCATTAGCATTATAAAATTTACTGATTCTATGAGATTCTCTACTTTTGGTTTAATCCCTATTGTTTCATTCATTGTAGTTCTTTTCAAATATTATTCTCAGTGCAACTGAAACCATTCTAGAGACACAACTGTCAGGAGATACCTGTGGATTGCTCTATTACAAGATTTTATGTTATATGAACTAATAAGATTTAAATCAGTCACTGGTATAAGTTGTCTGAAAATTTTAGCTTCAAGATCAAATTCTTGGAACTCTTAACTTTATTAATTTGTTCCTTATGTTTACAAACCAGTACAGACTTCCCTAAAACCTGCAGTGTTTTCTCCAAATAAGTAACTTTCTTAACATTTCAGTTTTTCAAAGATTCAGCCTGTAAAGTATTATAAACATGAAAGAATCATGATTCTGAATCATTTTATTGCTTACAATAGTTAATAAGCAAATAAATAATTTCTTTTATTCTGAACACAACATTACAATAAAAGATTCTTCCTTCAATATATTTTGTATTTGTAACTTTTTATTATTTTGCACATCACTGCAAAATGATCATATACTGTATTCTACATTTTCTGCTTTATTTTTCATTATTTTAGTTAAGCTCTTTTGGTCATAATACCACATTTCAATAATTGTAACTTGTTTGATTATTCTTTTGGATAGTGGAATCTGCAGAAAATTAACTTTTACTGTGAATTTGTTCATTTTCCTGAACCTTGGGCTTTAATTTACAGTCAGTGTGTCAATTCTATTTGCATCAATTCTTTGTTTTAAAGTTAAAACAATTTTTCTCATAAATTTATTCTTATCCCCTCTCATCTTATTCCACACACATTACAGACCTTGATGAAAGAATAATATAACATTTTGAATTCATGAGTCTGTGCTAAAAGTTTTAAACCAAATAAATTTCAAACTCTATTTTGTCCTTCACTTTGTTTTCTTGTCAAAAAGCCTATAGATCTCATACAGGATATTTGTCCTAATTATAGTCCTGTATATAATAACAACAACAACAATAATAATAAAGTTGGAGGGGACCTTGGAAGTCTTCTAGTCCATATCCCTGCAGGAAACCCTATATCATTTCAGATAAAATTTTCAAATGTTTCATATAATACATGGATATTTCTCTTATCAGTTTCCTCATAAAATTGTAACTTCTTCATCTACATGCAAAATCTA